TGGGTAGAAACTTATTTAAGCTTAACAAAAAAATATAGTCAGAACATGCATTTTTCTTGATATTTAGTCCCCAGTGAAATAATTTGTGATTTTTTTTTTTTCACTGAAACATTAACACATCCAAGCTGGTATCATTAATAATATATTCAGACTTTCTGACCTGTTAAAATAAATCACAGTAATCGAAAAAATGAAAGACTGAAGAAAATGGACTTGCCTTTTAAGGGGTTGAAAGTTCAGACTTTCAGTTTATTACTCAAAGTCAGAATTAAGCAGGGTGTTTTCTGCTGGAGTGATTCTTTTTTTCATTTGGAAAAGGAATACTTGAAAGTCAAGATACTTATTTCAGAAGAAAATACCTGTGTCATGGCAGTACAAAAGTCTGAACAGAAATAATATAAAAAATTCAAGTTAAAAGAAATTAAAAAAAAATAAACTGCAAGTTATCTAACAACTAAATGAAATGCAAAAAAATAATTTTATTTAATTCTCATCTTACGTGTTTTTAGCTTTCCAGCATAAACTTATATTGAGATAGCTCTATATGAAACTCTGGACCCTGTCATATTACCGGGGAAAATTAAAATGCAAGTTTATCCTATATTCAAATGGCTTACTCCTAATTTTGCTTTGTCAGTTGTCTTTCATTCCTGTCTTGATAACAGAAAGAGAGAGGACAAAGAGCGGGAAAAATATATTGTCTGTAATAAAATGTGCACAAATATTATTAAACTGGTTAGAATTCAGATGGTGTAAGCCAGCTCTTTGAAATAGTGGGTAAATATTTTATTTTAGCCACATAATATTCAGTGGCATTTTGTTTGGAGATGTCCAATTAAACCATCGGGCAGTGTTTGAAAACAGAAAGAATAACTCTGGGAGAAACATCTCTAAAATACTGTGTACTAATGTAAACCATTCTGACCACTGTAATGACCCTACTTTGAACTCTTTCAAGAATTTCCAGTTGTTGGTAAGCAATTTTTAAACAAAAAAAGTTTATATATTGCTATTGTCGCAATAGTAACTGTAACATCCTTTTTCTCAAAGTACAACACTGCATACAATACACCAACATGCAGGGCAGAGGCTTTGGGAAGGCAGACTGGGGAAGGAGCACAGGGAGCATGCAGGAAAGCCCTGTTGGTTTTCACAATTTACATAGTGTGTGAGCCGGCACAGGCAGGACACAGGAACAACAACAAAACCATGGATAAAATGGAAAGGGTAAATTTATTTTCATTACCTCACCAACGAGGAGATCCCCGAAGCAGCACCCAGACAGAGGCACGCAAGCAGGTATGCAGACACTGCAGAGGTCCGTGCTAGAAGATCACCAAACCTGCTGTTTTCGCCTGTATTTCAGGGATGCTTGCAGGCATAATTTACCATTATGCTTTAATCTTCCCCATAGCATGGCAGGAATCTCAAGCATGTTCAACAGGATTCCTCAAGTCTATTACAGGCCTGTGTTATCTAAACACATACCTTCTGCTTGTCCAACACACAGGGACAAATAACATTTGGTACAATATATGTGTTTTTCAGCATTCCAGCTGCAGGTTACTTGAGTGTGTTTAGAATTCTCCTTGCCGATCTTCCATTTTTTTCCACACAAAGTAATAACCTCAATTGGTTTTTTTTCAGTTTCCAACCTCTACTATTACTTCATCTGCCAAAACAGGAACTAGTGGTCCTGTCCATTTTCCCATATTGTTCAAGAGATTTTTGGTTAAGTTGCATCCCCTGGGCCTCCTGGTGTGATGCAGAGCTGCTGTAACATCCCTCCCACCACCCACTCAGCATGACACATGTCAAATGAGGTTGTTGAAGCTGACCTAGGTGTTTGTTACAGGTTGCACCTGACCAACGAGATCAAGGTGTGAGGGGAAGGCCACTTAAAATAACTAACCTAGGAATCATAGTGTTCAGGTCCCAGCTATACTTCTGTCACACGCTCTGCTGAACAGCATGATCTGTCAGACGTCCCGATGGGTTAGAGTAAAGTGGAGATCTCTGCAAAAACACCACCACTGGCAAGCCTCTTGGGCACAGTCCCCTCGAAGCTGTAATTGTTTGAACCTTGGATACACTGAGAGGAATTTAGGGGTAAAACTTGGCCCTCTGAGGTCCGAAATGCATCAGGGCACAGCTGGGAATGTGAACTAAGTCTATACAGACATTTATGCTTATCTCCAGACCTGCTTACTACCAAGAGCTACATGATTTCAGCTGACCAAAAGAGAGTCTAATTTCATGTAGGTTTCTGTGCTATTTATTAATTTAAGTTTCACATTCTTGATTATGAAAAATACTATTTTGCTATTCATTTTTATATACCTTTTCTAAATAGCAGTAGTTTAAAATCTGGGACAACAGTAAAAGAAATATTTCTTTAGTAAGTCCTTCTTTGTAGGTCCTGTAAAACTGAAGCCATCAATAATGACACACTAGTGGTGTCACTGATCAGGTAGGAGTGTGAAGCTGATATTCCAAAATCTGTCAAAAATGTAGGGCAAAAGTGCAATCACAAAACTTTATACAATGTCAAATATACTGCACCATATATGTTTGTTACAGTATGCATTTCAATAAGAGGTCTAAATTATCACTGTGTGCAATAATTGATTTTGTATAAAATTCTTTTATATAAAACTAGATATTTTTACTCACATTATTGAGTTCTTTTTTTTTTTTTTTTTCCGTAAAGCACTACCTGTAAATAACAACTTAATATCAAATCATTTTATGTTCTTTGAGTGCTTCTGGAAACACTTTAATTTTGTCTGAACAAAAAGAAAAAAGGCACAGAGGTCCTAGCAACTTCTCTTAAAGTCAAGGTGTATTATTAAGTTATTCACTCCTTCATTTCCTTGAATTTCCATAAACACTGATTTGTTTTGATACCATGATCCACTGCATGACACTGCACAGTGACAATAAGTGGTTTTGAAATCAAGTTATAAATTTAGTCTTTAGTAATCTTGTAAGAAGCTTATTTCTGTGACCTTACTGTGGTTGGCCGCATTAGCGCTAAACCAGTGCAACAGTGAAGGAAGGGCACTAAGGAGAAGGAAAGAGAGCTCATAATAAGCATGTTTGATTCACTTTATTAAAAAAAGAAAAAAACAAATGTTGCTGCTGTATTAATGTGTTGTACAAAATATTTTTTAGAAACAGAATGTGGAAAGGAAACATACTTGGTAATATTATTTAGAATATATTTACAAAAATGTAGCCTACACTGGTTTTATTTCCAGAAAAGAAACATTGGTTTTGGCGATGCTCACATTATCATTCAGGTATGTTTCAAGTGATCTATTAATCATTCAAATTTTAATGATACATGATTGTGAAGAAGACTATAGCTTATGATACCCAGAGAGCACCTTACTAACTATGTTGGAATGATCACAATTTATTATGATTTAATTATATGATGATCACTATACTATTATGATTTAATTGTATAGTGCATTCTTTAAATTGCTCAAAAATAATGTAAGTTTTAGCCTGGAAACTGTGATTTCACCTATGGATCTCACAACTTATTTCATGGTGTGAATAGATTTATTTTCAGTTGACTCTGCAGTGTATTTGTCAGTGTTAACAGGAAAAATGGTGCCTCCAAAGAACAAAGTGTACCCAGTTATAGTATATTTATAATTTTTCTGAAGAGTATAGTTTCTCATTGTACCCTTTACCATGAAATTAGAACATTTTGCTGGATAGTTGATGGATAGACATAATTTATTCCCTGGAATTTATTTTTCTATTTCTATGACCTTTGCCAGTTCAGAGCTGAGTAATCTTAAATTTTTATTCAACTTTACTCAGGGTGAATATTCAATTTCTCCTTCATCACCTTTCTTACGAACATCTGGGTTAGCTTTGTTTCAAAGATCACCTGAATTAGAGAATTCTCTGTTTATCAGTGCTGGGGAGATCATAGCCACATTCAGAGTTGGTAAATAATGGTGGCCTCCCTGGCATGACCTTAGTTGGTGTCAGAATTAAATTGTAGCTATTATTTGCCTTCAACACTACTAACACTAGGCTGAAACAACTGCATGCAAGAGTTGGGGCTGGAATTAAAAATAAAAATTGAAAAAAAACCCCACCACCAAAAAAACCCAGCAAAACAAAGACACCAAATTGCAATGACCTGAGGAACTGAGTTCAATTCTCAAAGTCACTGGAGGTAATTCAGTACAGGTAGCAATGTCTTTGAGAAAAGCTGCCAAGAGGCCTGAAAATTATCTACCAGTCTGAGACATACTTTCTTAGAGTGGCTGATCTCTCGTAGATGATTAAGCCCTTTCAGAAGAGCTACTTAGTGTTATAAATTGATTCTCTTTAGAAACTGTGAGGAAGGAAGACACACTTGAAGAGAGTTAAGAATTAAACAAAGAGGCAATTGAGGGGTTTGCAGGCATTTTTTCAATATCAATTTTACTCCCAGGTTACTAGATCCGTATTGTGCTAGGGGGGACACACTGAGAGAAGTAGCAGATTTTGGTGGTCTTCTTATTGAGGGTGTGGAGTTTTTTGTGCATACTCCTTAGTTGTCTAATGCCAGCCAAAACAGATTGTTCAAATATAATCCATATTAAAAATACCTTCAACAGACTGTTAAGAGTTTGAAGCCCATTAAGCAGTAGCGAATAATCAGAGCATTAGCTATTTCTGGTCTGCCTTAGTTCTACAGTTCTGTCCTCTTTAGTGGCTGATATAACTATCCAAAGGTTTATGGTAAGAATTCTCACTTGAATAATGTGATAAGAGCCCTGAATATAGGAAACATTCATGCAAAGGGCAAGTCTCATGCAGCAGGAAATCCCAGTTATCCCTTCTAGCCTGTGCTCTCAGACAGCCACATCTCTGCCAAAGCATACCATAGCAAAAGGACGTTCCCTTACACAGTTACAAGTGCTTCATGGTTAGTGCGGGGCACCTCCAGCACAACTGTCCTGCTTCCCCTCAGGGATATATTTTTTAGACGATTTTAGAATTTATTTTGCCAATGGCCTTTCTGTGGGATCCTTTTGGAGCCTATATCCCTCGTCCATCTTCAAGAAATAAGATGAGATTACGCTTTTTGAAGTCCTACAGGTATCTCTTCTAGTGATTTACGGTGTAATTGACAGGGATAATAGTTGCAACTGTGGCTCTTTTTTTTATTCTTTTATAGGATAATAGTATATAACAATTAGGAAATGTTTTGTATTAATTGTGACTCTTGAGCTCAAAAAGGCTTTGTTGAACATGTATATCGAGAAAATAGTAATTTTTTCTGTGTGATTGGAAAATATTAGGAGTAAATGATCATGGAAGTTTGTAAAACTGCACTTTTCAAGTAAATAATAATTTTGCATCTTTTTTGCACTCCAAGTCAGGGAAAAAGATTAACATTTGTGTCAGTGTTCTTATAAAAATTTTAATTTGAAATATTAGCTTTACTTATTATAAGTAAACATAGTTATAGATATGACATACCGATACAGCATACCAAGTCTGAATTAATATTTATAGTTGGGGGGCTTTTGTATAACAAGAAAACCATGTTTGCTAAATATTTTTGTGATCACCATTTTAAAAGTAAGTATAACCAATGGGAAAACCATGCAGATTCTGTTTTTTCCTAGCTGTTATTTAAAAATAACAATAGCAAAGTACGCTTTCCATTATTTATACTGCTTTTTGCAATTGAACCGATATTGTTTTCAACTTCCTTGCTTTGATCTAATAGATGCAATATAAATTTTCAAGTATAAAATTCTTAAGATACTCCCATTTGTATATAACACGTTGAAGAACTAACTACATGTCATTTTAATTATAACTTTTTAACATTAATTGATGCAACTGTCACATTTATTGGCACACATTACAATATCAAATACATAAGATAAATACTTTATGCAGGATAACAATCACCATCTATGAATACTGTAAAAAAAAAAACTGGCTAACTACAGTACAACTTGCCTGTGTCTTCTTGTTCAAAAGTGAGGTTGTTCATACAGAGGGAGATGTTTTTATACCAAATAATAATCATAACAACAGATAAAGGGATTTGAATAGAGAATAAAAAGATGGTATCTATAATAGTTTCTAAAAGATCAAAACTGGATCATGTAATTTAGCTGAGATTCTCTTAAGGCAGTCTTCTTATAACAGATTTTTTTTTTTTCTTAAATAAAGCTACCCGTGTTTCTTTTACAAACTTTTATCAGTGTTTCAGAAGCAAAAAGATAAATATTTCAAGTAGCATGTTAATATGAGATCTGATTATTCTGATGTTTAACATATGTAAATATAGCACACTGTCTAATTTTTCAATCTAAAAATGTGAAAATAATCATAAAAGTTGTTAATAAAAATAAAAAACAAGGAACTCTTCCCTAAAGTCCAGAGGTGTGAATGAATTTTGTCTTGTCATACAAAAAGTTTAATGTTTGTTTTCAGGAGCTTTAAAGAATTAGCATGAGGTTGAAGATAATTTTATAAAAAATGGGTCAGAGTTGCATTATTGAATGTGAACCATTTTTGTTGTTACTATTTAAGTTTTGACTGAGAAGAGGATTACAAATCCTTAACATGCATATTGCCATGTCACTGCCATGGCTCCATTCTCACTGTAGGTTATATTTAGAAATCTACTACAAAATTTTACAGTACTCAGTCCCCATGTAATTTAATAACCTTGTTTATGTCAACCGACAGCTCTGCTCACGTCACTCAACTATCTGATGTCAAGGGGCTTTGGTGTCTAAAACTGAATACCTGATAGTACTGTCCAGGCTTTCCGTGATGAACATTGTTTAGCAAACCATGCTGTTCTACTTTATAATCTTAATTTAAATTGTAAAGTTGGCCATGATTTTAACATTTATTTTGCTACATTTTGGGCAAAAAACATAGTGTTCTGTGGGATACTCAGAATCTATTAGTTAAATGGACCATTATGTTTTAATTTACATATTTCCTTTCTGTGGGAAGATTCTGGGAGATTTCTGGGAGATTCTGTGATACGTTGATGTCCCCTTACAGTCAATAGTGACTTGAGTTTCTCTGCTGATCATCAAGTACTGGGGTTTGTATCTTTTAGAAGGTGGTGGAAGAGCCAGACTAATGCAAGCTTTCCCAGAGTAGGAAAAAAATATGCCTTGACACAATGCAGTTTTTCTAGGAAGAGCTGGAATGCAATGCAGTCACTTAGAGCTCCTCCTCCTCTGCCCTGCCCATCAAATAAGCCATAGGTTGAAGCCTCAGCAAATTGTACTGAACAAAAACAAGAAAGCAAACCAAAAAAAATGGTAGAGATTCACTTACGATTCACTATACACCAGAAGTGCAAGTATTCACAGCATTAGATGTAGAACCAAGGCCAGGAGTGGTACTTCACAGAAAAGGAAACTCAGGAGACCAACAAATCATTTCACAATTTCAGTATATTTTTACAGGCTGGAGAAGAAGGGTTGTTTAGTTTTGTAGGGAGGTGTGCCCATTCTGCTCTCTGGCAGACAAACATTCTTCTAGTCCAATACAAACAAGATATTTGTAAATCTTTGTTATATTTTCAGAACTCACAGAGAAGCTCACCTCTTTTTTTTTTTTTTTTTTTTTCCCCCCTTTCTTTTCAAAGCCTTGAGTCTCTGTAAACTGAAGCATACCTCATTTCCTGAAATGCAGACAGGAATCATGTTTCCTGCTGCATTTAGCTTTGCTCAGGAAAATACCACTAGATGTGACTGTAAAAACTGAGTCCTAATAGTATCACAGTTACACTTTAGAGCTTCTCAACACCTCTGAAGAACAGATGGAGACAGAAGCCTTCTTCATGACCTCTAAATCCCATCGTGCATGGATGAAGAACTAAAGCACCTATCAAAATGTCCTGCACATAACTGAAATGTATGAATAAGGACATAAGACACTAAATCCTGCTAGATGCTAAACACTCACACCTCCCACTGACCTAAGGACAGGTCCTCAGGACCACTTAGAAGATTCTCCAAAGGCAGCAAGATCTGCCCTGATTATCTAGCTGTTCGTTAAGTCTTTTTTCACAAAGAAGGATTTGTGCATAACTCTGGAGTGAAAATCTGCTCAGTAAAACCTGTTTGTGGAGACAATTTTATATAGATTGTAAGCTCCTATGTAAAATGGGTGTTATGGAGAAATGACACTGGCCATAATATGCACTAAATTGAATAATCAAAGAATTAATGTTTGTTAAATTATTTCAGTGTCAGAACTATATCTTCGTTTTGTTAACTTTGAAGATACACTTCCTGAGACAGTAATCATGAAACTTACATCTTCATGTGAAAGAGAAAGAAAGGTTCTTTGTTGTTTTATGTGAGCTTCTTTTGTTCCTTCCTCTGCTTTCTTTCTGTTTTTCTTCTTTGGCTGACATCTGGCGTATGTCCCTGGACAAGAGGAATGGTCATGTGTCTGAAGCTACTGCCAGCACTACTTCTGCAGCCAGCTGCTCACAGCATTTGTACATAAGGAGGCAGATTCCCTCCTGCCACATAATTGTACTCCAAGCCACTAAACTCTCGGGAGCTGGGCTGGAAAGTGGAATCTTTCTCTCAAACAGCAGTTTTCAGGAATCCCTCTCTAAGGGGATTTCTTAATGATGTCAAAGCTTTCTTAGTGAGCAGAGTGTAATATTCTAACTTTTTTTCTTATAAGCCTTGTAATGAAATGAGAATAAAAACCAGATTAAAGTTTATTATTTTATTTGATCGAGTTTAGAGTCCCAGCACACTGGAACTAGTTTGGTTCTCTTTAACTAGTCACTCAACATTGTCTGGGAAATAAAATATTTGAATGCATAAGTGTGGACTTTTCCAGTGAACATGATGAGTCACAGTTGATTTCATATTCAACTCAGAAATTCTTTAATTTAGAGTATGCCCTATCACCATTAAAATGATGGTTAAAGTCTCAGTCAGACTTATTTTAGACAAATCTGCATGCTAAATTATCATCATTCGCAATTCAGACATTCGGTTATGTTAATTTGAAATCTTTGGAAAAGTGGCAAAATAGCAAGGCATAATGCTAGTCAGGTTAAGTAGCAATAGGAAAGCAGGTGCAAGTGAATCATACTTGACTCTTGGTGTTCCTGCAGACTTACATCCTTGACAAAACCAATAATGACTAAATATAAAAAGTCTGGACAACATTTCCTAAAATTTCATCAGGTCAAGTCCCAGTCCATAGGTTCCCAACACCAAGAAAAAAACAGGAGACAAATACGGTATTCATAAGTTTCAAGTTTTGCTTTAATTTCTCAGACATAGTTGATTCACACAAATAGGTAGAGTGAGTCTATCACAGTGGGACAGATTGAGTCTGTCAGTGTTTCTTATTGCTGCTTTGGACTATCATTACAGAGTGCTTATTCTGTGGGATTTTGCTGTTCTTGCTACTGCCTTGGAAGTTTTATAGTTAGTGTGAAATAAACAGAAAACTGAAATATATCTGTAGGTATTTTATCAACAAGTTTTTTCCAATTTATGCTTAAGTACATTCTAACAGCCTAAACCAGAACCTGTATGAATAGCTATCAGGAAATATACTTTTACACACAGTGAAGTAAATTATTATGACTAGTGTTGCTATGATTTACAATAAATAAATGGTTGGGCTTTGCTGTTTGTGGCTGAAACAATCCCCATGCAAAACTGGCCTTCAAGATTAGGTTGGGAGCATACATTAGCATCCCTTTAGATACAGAAAAAGATTACACTAGCCATAAACACCAGGAAATGCTCAGTTTGATTTACAAATTGTAGATGTCCATGGATATTTATCTTAATGTCAGGACTATCTGACTTGCAATTCCCTGATGTATAACAAATTCTAGGAGCACTATAAATAGATCTATCATTCAATCTGATACTGAGTACATCAAGAACAAGCTGACACTAGTTCAGCATGTACCAGGTCAAAATGTTGTAATTTCTAGACACTGCATTAAACAAGAAGAAAAAATGTATGGGGGTAACTTGCCAATGTTTATTTTATGCCTCTGCAGAATATGTTTATTGTCCATTGTAGATCTGAATAACTTTTTAAATTGCAAAATAAATTGAAAAAATAGAATTTCTTATTGGAACTAATAAATAAAATTTATTTCTGAGTCCCAGAAACCACTAATTTCTACGGGTCATTTCATGTTTCAGTTGTCTTTGTGAAAGCCACATGTGAAGGTATATTGAAAACTTCTGCAATATGCTAAAAGGTAATTTGAGGCTCTAATGCGCCTTTCTTTATGAGGCAAAAAAGAAAAAAGGAAATGAAGAGGCAAAAAAAAAAGAGAGAGACTCCTGCCCACCTAGAAAGATCAGGCACACCAGTCTGGTGTCATCTGTAGGAGCGTTCTTACATTGCATCACAGGCGTGGTCCATGCCAGCTAATCAGGTCTGTGACAACAGCCAGCAGCAGACATTTGAGAGAGAACTGTGTGAAACTTGGTCTTTACAGTATAATCTTCCTTGAGGGGGAATTTCCTTAACATCTTCAGTAGTTCTTTATGCATGAGTACTACAAAACTCTCCTTACTGTATGTATTGCTTGGGTATTTTATTTATTCACACCAAATTTTGATCATTTTTTACTTAAAAAGTTGCGGAATTTTTGGCTTCAGCAGTATCTTTTGACACACACTTCAACAGGTGAATTCTCTGTGATGTGCAGGAATTTCTTAATTCTGATGTCTTTTGCCTTGGAATATTTTAAGTAGCATTGTAGCCTTATGTTGCTAAAGGGTTAGATGTTGGCTTATATATTTGTGTACCACTCTTGCTCATCAGCTTTCTAACTAATGTATATTTTCAGTGCCTCTTTTCACATGGAAAAATTTACTGTCCATATCATTCATGTTGCAGATTTCTTAACCCCTCTTCCTATTTCAGTGCTCCTTCTAATGCAGAGTGACTAGAAGCAAACCCAGAACTTCTGATGAGGACACACAGTCTAGATTAATTACAATATTCCTATTCTCATGGAAATATATTTTTAATAAAATTTCCATTATTATCCTCTATCTGATTTCTGATATAGTTTAATAGATTAGCTGATTCGCTGATTTTGAGTCATGATCAATAACCTCCCATTCCATTAAATACCTGGTTAGTGTCTGTACCAGGTCAGACTAGATGTTCTGTTTTTAACCCTGTTGGAACAGTTTTACTTCCATTACTATGTGCTTTTTCTCTTGTTCCATGTCTGCCTGTTCTCCTTCCTCTGAGAGAAGTTTACAAGGACACAGTATTGAGTGAAGGCAACAGGGGTCTTTGCAGGGAGTAGAATTTCGATCTCACTGGAAATTTTGCATTTCTAAAAGAAAAAAAAATCCCTTGTGATGAATAGCCACTTTTACACATTTTTCTATGTGAAGAACATTCTTTTCTTTAAGGTAATGAAATATAAAATGTGATTTAGGTTTTTTAATAGCCACTTTTCTTCTGGTTTCCTGACTTGTCAGAAGGTTAGAAAGTCTTTCAGGCAAGCTGCCCAGAATCCAAACAACCACAGAAATCAGGGTTCTGAGCAGTAGGAGACATATGCTGCCAATCAATATACTCATACAGTTGGTCATTATATATGTGTATATTATATATACAGCATGCACATACACACACACACACACGTGTGTGTGTGCGTGTGTGTGTATAGCCTACATTCAAGTGAGCAAACTATCAGAAGTTTGCCAGGAAGAAGCTGAATACACAGTACTGACATTAATGTTTGTCCACATGAACTCAGCTTTCCTTTATTTATTTTACCTTTGCAACATTTCCAGTCAATACTCAGCTTTTTAGTGGCTTAGCTTTCACAGGCTTTGGTACAAATTTCTGTTGAAGTTGTAAAAACAAAATGACGCAGCAGAACAAATGAGAGCAAAGCCTAAGAATATCTATCGTCCCTCCCAAGCAGGATCAGATAAACTGTTAACACTAGCTGAAGTTACTTAGCTAGTGAAGTAACCTAAAATGGAAGAAAACAAAACTACTTAAATGGGATATAATTGCCTCCAGATAGAGAATGGGAGGCCTCATATTTTCTTGATTATAACAGATGTAGGTTAAGCAAAAAGCCAAATACCAAAAAGAAAAATAAAAAATAACTCCAGCTCAAGATACTTTTGTATTACTCTAGTACACCCTGTGAGTTACCCTGTGCATCCAGCTTCATGTGCAGCTGCTGGGAAGCGAGTCACAACAGATATTTCAGTGTCCTCATTCATCTGAAGGCACCTTTTCCTTCCCCAAGCTCTTTCCAGACAGGACTACGCACCTGCAGCCCTTGTTACAAGCTGCTACAGAAGTACTAGCACCAAACAAAAGCACTTGGGCAGGTTGACACTCCTCAATTACTTTCTTTACACTGGCTTTGTCAGGATTTATATTTGGCCCACATCAGACCTGCTGTGAGAAGCTTCTTACCCACAGAAAAAACACAGAGTTCAGGCTCCAAAGGAAAGTTTGCCAGTTTTTTAAATGGTGAATTCTCTGCTTCTCTATATGACCATTTTAGGTGTACAGAGCACAAGGATGATAGATGGATGGCTGAAGCTTTTGTCCTTTTTAAAGGGGAATGCATGCCTAAGGAACAATACATCAAAGCTGGCTGTTTTGTGGTTTTGTCTCAAATTACAAACACTCTAGTCTCTTCAGTTTAAAGTTCTGGTTTTGTTCTGATAAACTGAAAT